ATACAGAGCTTTGGGACGGACCTGACGCAGCTAATGCAAAAGTGTTTGATGGCGATATTCTGCCCCCTGGAGATGTTTATCTTCCACACCTCTTACTTGTTTCGCATTTTAATCTCGTAGGTTGGTGGGCACGATTGATACTTTTGGGGGGTGAGTGGGATGACTCTGTCTGCCAGCAGACTATGCAAAAGGTACTGACATTTTGTCTTGGAGGAGCAGGAAGAACCCAGTAAGCCTCCTGTGAACAAAGCAATTGCTTACCTTACCTGCTTTCAATACATGATTGGTAACCAGAGTTGGCCATTTTCTGTTTCAATCAATCGAGTTTTGTCATAAGACAAATTTTGATGCCACAAGGCATGCAATGGGCTTATTGTGTTCTACATTCTTGATTATTTGTCCCAAATGTATCGAAGTGGTCCCTCATGGTTGCTTTTACCAGATGTTTTCTATAGTTGTCATGGTTTGCTGGCTGGCAAATGACTGCATCGTATATATGCACCATATGTTTAACACAGGGATACTCTAAGCTGCATAGCAGCGATAATATGAGTTGAATATTAGTATGTAACAAATAGTCAGACCCTCCCATTTAAAATGTGAAGCCAATATCTCAAACTTTGTCATTAAATATGAATAAACAAACCTAAATAGATGCCTTTGCTGAAGTTAAAAAGGCAAGCAGCAATACTGGCATAATCATCTAAAGGCTATGTTACTTTTGGAGAAGAGAGATTGTTTTGTGGAGCTTGTCCATTATTGTCCTTGACATAGGTTAATCATCCCATCAAATGAGTTGTTCAAAATGATTTCAAGTATTTTCATTTGTGTGTTCTCATCTTTGTCTGATGTCAACAAGCATACGCAAATGAACTGATTAAAAATGCAAGTTGAAACCAGTCAAAATAAGCTATATCATGTTTCTATCACAAGCGCTGCTGTCAACAGATAGGTGAGTTAAGACGATGTACAACATATGGGCCACTCTAAGTTAGGTTAAGTTGGTTAATTGCGTGGCAAGTGGCAATAAGAATTGTGCAAGAATCAGCAACTCACAACTGCTGCTGTGATAAAAACAGGTTAGACTGGAAGAGATGAAGTAAGGCCTCTTTATGTTAGGCATAGTTAGGCTACTTTCATGGAATAAGCATTGGTGTTTTGTAAGAAACAGTGACAAAATGTTTGTTTTCCCTGACCTCATCTTAACAAAAGCCTGAGGTACGTCTATTGTGTTTGACTTGGTGATGGGCTGATGTGTAGGAATCCAAGTTTTTTTGTTTGTTTGAGTGTTTTATGCTTGTTGAATTTTCTGTTATTTTGTTATTGAACTCCTTTGCTTTGTTTTGTATGTAAAGTGCTGTGGAAGGGAAGTGCAAAGCACAGCATCAAGTTATTGGTTTTCATAACTGCTTATGCTCACTCCACCGTCATGAAATTACTATGCTTTCAGGTGTTCTGTTCGACTTTAACGGCTTCAGATGTTAAAAACCAAAAAGTTTTGTCAGGTTTCTGATATTACGTACATGTCAACTTGAGATAGATGTCTTTGTTTGCTGAAGCATCAGTCACGAGCTCATAAGTTCCATCTTTTGAGAATTGATTTTTTTCACTCCTGCACGTCTTTTTTGCGATGGAATTTTTCACTCCCACCCCAGTTCAAAAGCAAATCTAGCTCCCTGTTTCAAAGTTACTGACCTTCATGATGTCATAATAACGTCATTCAATTCCTGTCATTCCATGAACCATGTGGTGATTTAGGCCAAGAAAATACATTTGTGAACGCGTTCATATCGAGCGTTAGTGAGCGTGGGTTCCAGGTGAAACGGCTATCAATTGGCTCTCAATGTTGTGCAAGGTTTGACGACGTAATCAAGCCATGCCATTGAGGAACATATTTACTGACCAGAGAATTGTGCTGTTTAGAGCAGGCTTTTCCACTTTAAAGCATATAGCTATAAGTGAGCTTGTTTCATGATGTATGCTGCTTGCTTCAGTATCTTTAAATGTGAAACATTTAGACGCGCTCGGGTAGGGGTCAATTGCCCTAACCCCCCTCCCCCGAAGGTTTTTCCAAAAGGACTTCCGAACGGCGCGGTGTGGCGGCGTCATATTTTGAATAGCTGTAGGCAGTTCAATACCACATCGCGTAGCATCAATATTTGGACTACTTTGTAAGGTCGGTGAGCTTTGGCAGGTCAAAGTTATGCCATGGATTCAGCGAAGGCAATTTCAAGGGAATTGTACAATCTGATGAAACAACGGAGCGTTAGACGAAGCCATACATCTCTGAAATACATTCTTAGGAAACACGACAATCAAATGACCAAATTCCATTGACCCAAGGCCAGATACGAGGGTCAGATCAATGTAAAAGCCAACCTGTTTTATTACTTTAGGGCTTGCTGTTTGCGATAGTTTCTGGTGCTCGTTTCAAATTTATTAATAAGTTAAACCGCATTAGACATCTTCTGTAGACTAATTATAGGTCAGAATAGGTCACTGGCCTGAACTGACTGAGCTCAACATTTCGTTTTCATGAGCATACTGCCTGGTTTAATCTTTGTGGCGTATTCAAATGCATAGATCAAAACAGTCCTCTATGATTTTGGTCATTATGACCTTCAAAGATCAAATAAGGTCAATGGCCTTGAATGCATATGTGGCTTTTTGCTTATAACAGGTGTCTAGGTTCTGGGAACACTTTGGAGACCAGCTTGGAGTTCAACCTTGTTTGACCTTATTTGGCCCGAACATCAAAACCTAGGAGGCTCAAACGTTGACCTTAGTGAATTCACGTACAGGTCAACACATTCTTTGAATTTAATGGGTTAGCTCTCTTAGTTCTTCAGATCTCAGCGGAGTCAAATTGACCCCCACCCGGGCGAAGGGTACCCAACCGGCCACCGGGGTGTATGTTAAATACATCTAGCACAGTTCGTTTGATGACAACATAGGTAGGCAATTCATGCACGCACATAAAGCCTGAAGACATCCCATTTCTTAATCTGACATCAACCCCACGTCATTTATAGGCAAACATTGTCAGGCCATCCAAGTATCGAAGAGATCCAACATCACTATCAGCTGGGAGATTAATGAAATGTGATGGGTGGGACAACATAATGACATTTGCAGAAACCCCCAGAAGGTACCAACCGCGCACCCCAATAAAGTCCCTTTAAGCAGTATTTTTGGCCCAAAATCAATGATTGGCTTGCTGAGTGAATACTGATTGCATTCCTCACAATGTGATATTCACAGGTATATGCCATGCAGCAGGGGTGTCATCAATTCCACACTCAAATGCAGCTCTCTATCAGCCCATCGACTTCATGGGTACGCATCATGTGTGTGTGTGTGTGTGTGTGTGTGTGTGTGTGTGTGTGTGTGTGTGTGTGTGTGTGTGTGTGTGTGTGTGTGTGTGTGTGTGTGTGTGTGTGTGTGTGTGTGTGTGTGAGCGCGCGTGTGCGTGCGTGTGCGTGTGCGTGTGCGTGTGCGTGTGTGTGTGCGTGTGTACCAACACACATCAAACAAACACAGGCTTGCATCAAGCGTACACAGGCTCGCATCAAGCATACACACAGGCTCGTGTTAAGCATACGCTGTTAGTTTACCATTTTGAAGGCTTCTTTCAAAATAAGCACTGTCCGTTTAGCTTTGTTTCAGAGCAGTTGTTTTTTATCTAAAGATTTGATCCGAACTCTTTTAATGGATGGATTTCCGGAATCAGAGCTCACGCTAGGCAGTGTTTGTTGTGCGAGCCCTGACCCCTACCATCCGATCGTGCAATTCCAGGCAGCGGCATAATTTAGCGGCGAAGGTTTAACGTGCCGTAATGCTCGCAATGCGATGCCGTCTGGCGTCAACTGACCTCGAGTGCGACCGCTGCCACCGGCCGCAGGCCGTATCTGCCAAGGACCAATAGCGAACGCCTAATGCGACTCAAACCCACCCCGCCACGGTTGTGTGGATCGGACCGCAGGCGCTCTAGCCAACTGAGCCACCGCGACGGACGGACCGTTGGACTGGATGACCTTAACCAATGAATCAAAACGCTTAGTAATGGTTAAGACCAATCTAGTCTTCCAAAAAAAAAGATAGAGGCATACTTATCATTGCGAACCATACCAGGATAAGTTCCTATTCAGTTCCAAGGATTGCGCGTCCCATCCCGGTATGTAGGGTTCATATTCTTCATATTTTGTATGCATCGCTTGCAAGTCTACAGTCCAGCCCACCCAAACAATTTTAGAGGAACTATGCCCCGCCTCTCAACTCTGAAGTGAAATTCTGCCAAATCTGGAGCAAACTTTCCGAATTGTATTTCGTAGGCAGGCTCAGCCTGTTTTCTTTTTGAGCCCCCGCCCCTCACCCTCCCTCTCTCCCCAAGGTATTTGGAAAAAACTGCATCATTGTAGCCCTATATAAACCCATTGCCATGACTCTACAAGCACCTGAAAATAACATTTATTTTGCTCAGATAACGTCATAGTACAGCCGGCTGAAAGTGTTGGCAATCTTCACCATCGTTGCTTCAGTTTGATTGGCGCAGAACTCGCACTTCCTAGCACGGTCTCAATCAACGATATGTTCGTGCGAAACCCATGCAATACTGGTATCACAACACGCACAAGACAGCTTTGAACGCCTCTACTACCTTCATTTAGCACCGTATACAACACCATGTCAATAAAAAGCGATTTATGTCACACCTGCCAGACGGATTATTCACGAAATTTGTTGTGCGTTCACTAAATTTGTCGTGTCGTGCGGCCATGTCGTGCGTCGCCAACGTCATTGTCACGTGGCACCCTTCGATGATCGTCGCACAGATTGGGGTATCGCCAGAGACGCTTTGCCAACGGACGATGTACTCGACTGCTTAATACTCTTAACAGCCGCTGCCCAGTGAGCTCCTAGAATCCGCTGCGGGATTTTCACAGCCGGGTGTGCAGGCTCGGCCGCCGCCCGGCAGTGTACACGTGTTTGCACCGGCTCCAGACCGGTTCACCTGTGTATAAAAGTGCCGTACACAACAGAGGGACCAGCAGTCGCAGCAGTGCAATCACTCAGCCAGGTAAGGTGCTTCTGCCCAGGTTTGGGTCTGAGAGTGCGGTAGCTGGTGGTGTCATCATTATTGGTGAGACTGAGCTTACCAAGCATAGGTGGCACGCAGTGGAATTCGGGCTACACTGTCCAACGGAACGCAATTGGTTAGTTGAATGCGATATTGAGGCCTGAAAGCGGTCTGCTGCCTGTCTGATGTTAAGAGGGTGACAGAGAACCCGAGCTTCTAAAGCCTCAAAGCGTAACCAGCTTTCAAAATCAAAACTACCCCGTGAACTGTTATGTACCAGAAGGCGTTGGGGGATGGAATTGAGCGACATGAGCTTGGTAAGCATGGGGCGCATAAATTGGATCTCATTCATACGCTCTGCTGTTTAATGCTGCAACAAATAAGGTTTCGTAGAATTTACCTGCTTCGGGTCTGTGTGACGTAAAAATAATAGGTATAACGAGTTATCTAATTATAAGTGAGCATATTTCATCATGTCTGATGCTTTCCTCAAGAGCTTCAAATGCGGGTCATTCCCTTTCAAAAAGTAGGTGCCGTGCACTCGCAGTTCTCCTCACACTAACTAGCCACGGATGAGCATGTGTTTTGCTCGCCTTACCTTATTTCATGTCCTAGAGCCCGCGAGCTAAGCGGTTGCCAACGGGCATGTGGAAACACTGTCATCGTTTCAGGCTAGTAGTAGTTTGTTCGTGGTTTGATCAGTGATTCGTGTTACGACAGCCATGAAGATCGTCGCTCTCCTGCTTGTGGTCTGCACCTCCGTGGCCTGGGCGAAGCCTTCGTGCATCGAGAACATTTGCCTGCCCACCAGTCAAGGCAGTGGGGTGGGAGCTACGGGAGATATCACAAGTGGCACAAGGTTTGGCAATCTCGTCGATTTCGTCGTCCTTACGGCCGCCCGTGTCAAGACTCTGCCCTCCAGGGCCCCTGCAGCAGCCGCAATAGTGCAACCATTCAGGCGGGTAAGGTGCTTCAGCCCAGGCTGGCTTTTCTACCAGTGTTGTGGGAAGGTCTGGGAGTGCGGTAGTTTGTGGTGCCATCATTTTTGGTGAGACCGAACTTGCCAAGCAAGGGAGGCAGAAGGCGGAAATCGAATTGTGCTGTCAAACGAAACGCAATTGGTTCATTGAATGCTATATTGAGACCTGAAAGCGGTCTGCTACCTGCCTGATGTGGAGGGGGTGACAGAGAGCCCCGAGCTCCTAAAACCCCAAAACGTAACCAGCTTCCAAAATCAAAACTACTAGAACTGTTATGTACCAGAGCGCGTTGGGGAATGGAATTGCGCGACATGAGCTTGGTAAGCATGGGGCGCATAAATTGGATCTCATTCATACGCTCTGCTGTTTAATGCTGCAACAAATAAGGTTCCGTAGAATTTGCCTGCTTCGGGTCTGTGTGATATAAAAATCGCATTTATAAGTAGTTATATAGGTATAAGTGAGGTTTATTTCACCATGTCTGATGCTTTCCCCAATAGCTTCAAATGCGGCTCATTCCCTTTCAAAAAAGTAGGTGCCGTGCACTCGCAGTTCTCTTCACACTAACTAGCCACGGATGAGCACGTGTTTTGCTCGCCTTACCTTTTTTCATGTCCTACAGCCCGCGAGCTAAGCGGTTGCCAACGGGCATGTGGAAACACTGTCATCGTTTCAGGCTAGTAGTAGTTTGTTCGTGGTTTGACCAGTGATTCGTGTTGCGACAGCCATGAAGGTCGTCGCTCTCCTGCTTGTGGTCTGCACCTCCGTGGCCGGGGCGAAGCCTTTTTGCATCGGGAGCATCTGCCTGCCCACCAGTCAAGCCAGTGGGGAGGGGGGGGGGGGGGGGCTACGGGAGATGTCACAAGTGGCACAAGCACTGGCCCTTTTGGCTCTAGCAAGATTACGTCCGTCAGGGCCTCTGCAGGGGTAAGTACGCGGAAAAACGAAAGCCGTCAAGAGCACATCTGGAAAAGATGGGCTGAATTAAACTGCGTGTTCGCGTTCCGATAAATGGGAATGGAAGCAAGCCTTAGTTTTTTTAGTCACGCTAGCTAACATTACATGGCTTCTGATAGACCGCATGCATAAGCACTACGTTGGATTCGATTTCTTCGGAAACTCGTGTCATAATGGCGCAACGTAAACATGCATTGGTAACCGAGTAAAACTGAAGCAAACTATGTGCATTCGGCAGTGACATTTACCTCGTTACCTCGTATGGTCCAACACGATAATTCACTGCCAACTTGGTTCACCGCCAGGGGTATATTTCTCCTTCACTTGGTGCAGCGTGCGGGGCACAGCGTGCAATGTACAATAACCTGTGCATGACACAACATGGCGGTGCTCTTTTGTTTTGATATCATCTCTTTTGCAGGGATCTGCCAGGGGACTGTGTGCAAACAGCTTAAGCACGGGACAAGCCTTCAACTTTAACTCACAAGATATCTTTGGCAATACGGATGAAAGTGACACTAATGCTGTCTCAAACCAGCAAACCGGCTGCTCAGTGACTCAGTCACAGTCATCTCGGCATGCGTCGCAATGGCACACATGAACAGCTTGTTACGTCGACAGGCGTTGTGATATCGGACGTCGGATGTGACATGTGATCGAACTGTGCAATACAGGCTTATCCGGACATAGCTGAACTCTAATGCATTGGCACTGCCAGTGTCAGTTGATGTATCTCCCCAAAAGAGGCAACACAAATATCGTGCAAACGCCGATAGGCTTTAGGTCATTGATAACTTAAAGAATCATCTTGATCATGTACTAGTGTCCACTATAAGGACTGAAAAATAATTGGGAGCCTGCCATAGCTCATATTTGGCTGGGAGTAATGGGCCGAATTTACTTATTTTCTACACCGGATCCGAGCTGCCGGGAACATTTAAATTGGAGGATCCAGTCACATAATATACGATCAGAGATCGTCCGTGCATGATTGTTCATGCTTCATAACGCGTCGTTACAGTTGATATTTCACTCTCAGGCACGTTCTGAAAACTTCAAACGAATATAATGCAAAACCTGGTGTTTTAAAATCGTGTGTGAATAGTAAGGGATTGCAAAAATTAGCGTTAACTACGCTAAGCACAGGTTTGCTATGTTTGTTCCCGATCGCTTCTGTGCTTACCTCTACAGCCTTGCAACACTACGATCACTTCACTTGATATTTTTAACGTCTCAGATAATAACAGAGACCCCTGCAAGTCACCGGAGCGCGTGCTGGTCGGCCCCGGGCCGAGTGCGGCGAATCATGTCATCATGCACTTGACGTCACGCGCGTCCGACAAGCTGATTGGCGGACCTGCGACGCGCGAACTGCGACCTCACCTCCCGGGCCGCTCGCCGCTCGCGGTGTGTGTCACACATTTTCAAGGTCTACGGCACTGCGGTGTTTATGGAGCTGGATCAGCTCGCGTATGGTCTGGTTCGGTGCGAACCATAAAACGCGTGGTAACGGTCGGTGGGGAAAACTGATTGTTTCTTCAAGGTCAAACAGGGGTTCAATTCATGTGGTAGCCCGGGAGGGTATTATAATACGGGGAAATGTGAATAATTTGCATTTAGACGATACATAGACACTACATCCCTCCCCTTCTTCAGATGATAGCTTACACATAGTCCTTCATCCACGCGGGCTGGCGCCGCGCGCGGTGACGCATGGTCGGGGAACACACTGGGGCCGGGAACGACGTCGTGGCGTGGGAGGACGCAGTAGCGGCGCGGAGAGTAGGGATGTGGTGCCGCATGGACTCGAGGATGTCATCCATCGCCTGTTCTTCGTCCTCTTCTTCGGAGCGATCAGCGTCCTGTCCATGGAGGTGCGGGCACGCTCTGAATAGCGACGCGTTTCTCGTCACCTGGTGACATCCACGTGAAGCGGTGACCATGGTGCCTTGGATTCCGGTCACTTCGTACGGCGCTGGGCAGAACCGAGGTGTCGGCTTTCCCTTCTTGAATTCGGGGATCAGAACCTGGTCTCTGATTTGAAGATTCGTTGTCTTGGCTCCACGGTCAGCTTATTCTTTCATCTTCTTCTTCGCGGCTGTGTCCGTCTCGCGCAGTTTTCCATCCTCCGGATGTGTCGTCATCGGAGACGACAGCATGATCTTCACTGTGCGACCGGTTATTCATTTCCTGCTTGATCGGGCGTTGCTCGACGACAGCAGCTTCCACAGCTTTTGATAGCGTTCTTATGAAACGTTCTGCTTCTCCGTTAGTTCTTGGCCACAACGGGGTGATCTTGCAGTGCTTGAAGCCGATGTAGTTCGCGAACTGGGCGAACTCACGTCTGTTGAACGGAGGTCCGTTGTCTGTTCTCATGACATCGGGAATCCCGAACATCGAGAAGCTGTCGTCCAAGATGGGGATGATGGTACGAGCAGAGGTTTGTTTTTGTCGTACGGACAACCGGTAATCTCGAGTAGTCGTCGATCACAACAAGGAGATATTCGCCCAACGGAAAAGGTCCACAGAAATCAGCAGACAGCTCCTTCCATGGTCCAGCTGGGAGCGGCGACATCTGAAGAGGTTCCTTCTGTCGAACTGGTTCGGTGACTTGGCATGCAGTGCAGGTTGTGATGGTGGCTTCCACTTGTGCATCGATGCGTGGGAACCACACTTTCTCTCTCAGGAGTTTCTTCATCTTGACGATGCCTTGGTGTACTTGATAGGCCAGGGCGACGGCCTTGCTTTGCAGCGCAGCGGGGATGATCAGCCAATTCCCACGAAGGATGACGGTGTTCTCTTCCGAGACAGTCAAATCTCCATGAATCGTCTTGACCGGTTTCTTGAGGTCGGTGAGCGACGGTGTGCCACTGGTTCGACTTCACCAGCTCGAGGACCTTCTGGATAGTTCCATCTCTTGCGGTGTAGGTCTGGATTTCCTTGAGAGTCATGGCTTTTGGTACAGCAGAATTCATGACGAAGTTGATAAAGGCTTCCGTCTGATCGGACAGGGTGATTCTGTCGCTTGAATTGCTGGTTAGCGGATGGCGTGACATGTAGTCGGAAGGTTGTCCTTTCCAGGTCGGTAGACGACTTCAGGATCGCATCGTTGCAGACGCAGACCCCAGCGCTCGATCCTTGACGGAGGCTTCGACGCGAGGTTGCTCCAAATGAGTTGCACTGGCTTGTGATCCGTTACAACTTTCACCTTCTGACCGTGTATGTATAGGTGGAAGTGTTCGCATCCCCAGACGATGGCGAGGGCTTCTCGCTCGGTTTGTGAATACCGGCTTTCCACGCTGGTCAGAGCACGACTTCCGTATGCGATGACCTTGATGTCCTCAGGATTTTCAGATGTGGTCTGGCACGGGACGGCACCGAGTCCGTGCGGACTGGCGTCTACAGTGAGGTACGTATCCTTCTTCTGATCGAAGTAGGACATCGTTCCAGAGCTACTCAGAGCTTCTTTGAGTCGCTGAAAGGAGGTCTCGTGATGGCTGGTCCACTCCCAAGGAGTGTCTTTCTTGATGAGGTCTCGCAGCGGGCTCGTGAGGTCGGCGCAGTTCGGTATGAACCGTGACAGGTAGTTTGTCATGCCGAGGAAGCTTCGTACTTCCGATGGCTTCTTTGGTGCCTTGGTGTTCACGATCGCCGACACCCTCTTGGGATCTGCTGACATGCCCTCCGATGAGAAGGTGTAGCAGAAGGTCAGCTTGTTCTGGTTGAAGGCGCACTTTTCACGGTTGATGGTCAACCCTTTTTCATGCAGCCTTTGGATGACTTTGGTCAGGGCTCTGTCGTGTTCGGCTTGGTTTGAACCGAAGACGATGATATCGTCAGAGAAGTTGCGGACTCCTTCAATGCCACTGAGCGTGTGCTGGATGACGTTCTGGAAGACTTCGCTGGCTGAACACACACCAAAGCTGAGACGCTTGGAGCGGAACAGACCCTTGTGAGTTGAGAAGGTCGTGATCGGTCTGCTGCTCGGGTGGAGTACCAGCTGATGATATCCTGAACGTAGGTCGATCTTGCTGAATACCTTTGCTTCGTTTAGGTCGTGGATGATGTCGTCTACTGTTGGAGTGAGGTGTCTCCCTCTTTGGATGGCGGTATCCCGAGATCTCAGAGGGGTCGCACTGACCCCCCTTCCCCCCCCCCCACCCGAGCGAAGGATATCCAGCTGGCCACCCGGGCGCGGGTTAACCCGCGCCCGGCGGGGGTGGGGGGGGGGGGGGGGGGCAGTTGACTTCCCCCGAAGTCAACTTGATTGTCTTTCTTAAGACCCAAATCTCTCAAGTTTCTGACCTACACACCCGCGAAGATGGGGAGACCTCAAGGGCAGAGTATTTTAAGGTCACCTTTGCATTCATGACGTCATAATAACGTTTTTCAAATCCTTTGATTCCACAAGCCGTGCGGCGATCAGTCAGTAACAATGTAGTAGTTGAGTTGTCATACCAGGGCACCGTTTGTACCCTTCATGTCCCTGTGCGTTGGATCTTCTCTCCCTCATTAATTTACCGTGCTGCTTTATGTTTTTTTCGTCTATTCTCGTACCTGCTGATTTTGATTTTTCTCTACGCATCCATTTGCCTTGATTGTTTCTGGAAGTGCAATGTTTATCGGTACATGATGGAGTTAAAAGATGTATCTAAATTTCCTAAATTTAAACGTAACCAACGAGTCTGAATAAAAGCGACATTATGAGTTCAGAGTTCTCGCGCCGAGGTGTTCTTCAATATATCACGAGATAACGGTTAAACGGTTTAATTGTGCAAGCATCGGTAATATCAACATTTCTCGACATTTCAGGTTGGGCTTAAAATCACGAGTGACACGGGTTGTGCAGGACCAAGGAAAATACTATACTTAAAAACAGACAAAGCGCGAAGACGCTCCCACTAAGCAAACAAATATTAAACTATCCGAGATCGCACGTCCCAGCACACAGCAGTTCGCGGCTTTATGCTAAGGGCTGCACGAAAAACAGACGGGTAAGCCGGAGGGCTGCGATGGCCTATACCAAGAATCGGATGAGAAGTCTTATTGCCATGATTGCATGCCACCACAAACATTGCTCGAGCCTCGTGGACGTCCCAGGAATTCAGGCTCTCGATTCCTGGCGCCCAATAATACCTAGCACAAGAACTTTAAGCTCATTATGCTGAAAAGCCGATATTTGTTTCTAGCGATCTCTGCCGCCCTTCTTGTCCTGCTTATCCTGCTCCTGCGGTATTTGCGGAATGTTTCGGATTTTTAGGACACTCCTCGTTATAAGTTATCCATCAAAAGCCAAACCCGTTTGGTTGACACTCCCCAAGTGCCGTAGCACTTGCTGCGGCCGCGGTCAACCCCAGCCCTCCTGACCCGCTCACGTCACCTGCTGCGGCCGAGGTCAACCCCAGCCCTCCTGACCCGCTCACATCACCTGCTGCGGCCACAGTCAACCCCAGCCATTCTGACCCGTTCACGTCACCTGCTGGGGCCGGAGTCAACCCCAGCCATTCTGGCCCGTTCACGTCACCTACTGCGGGTGCAGTCAACCCCAGCCCTCCTGACCCGCTCACATCACCTTCTGGGGCCACAGTCAACCCCAGGCCTCCTGGCCTGCTCACGTCACCTGGACAGCTACACATGCTGATCGTGACAGGCAAGGGTGCACCTCTACCATAATTGCGCACTATTTGTAAATGACTGGTAGGAGTGGCATGATACACCTTGGCCTGCTAGCCAGCTACATCCGTCAGTCACGCGCCGTCCGTATGCTCGCGGCATAATGACAGAATCAAACAAGGTGCGGATCATTCGGGATGCGCTGGCCAGGGGCTTGGCCATGCTTAGGCAGGCCAAACTCGGCTGAGCGTCCGCCGGGCGACCCACACCTGGAACCCGACGGCGTGCGGCGCCGTCCACGGTCTTGCTGCTGCGCCTCTGTCCC